GTTCATGATTTAATTTTGACATTGAAAGTGAAAAGGGAAACTATGTGGCCATGGAGAGACTAAAGAGTGACTTCCATAGCATCATGGCTGAAATGTGCTTTGTGGTCTCCCTTTCTCCCTGGCCGGTAAGATTCCCTACAGAACACAATGTGGAGCCTCAGGAAACTATAATTCGAGGGAAGGAAAGGGAACAGATTGAGACTTCTCTCCTCTCCTGCCCTCCCCTGCCTCACACACCTATCCTGTGCACTAGGTGGTTTGTCAGGACTTTCCTGCTTAACCTACATCACAATCCTGATGTGAGGAGTAGTGTTAAGTTCATTCTACAGATGGTAAAACTGAGGCACAAAGAAGTTATCATTTGCCAACATCAAGCTCTAGTAAGTGTCAGAGATAGGAGTCCCACCCTGGCTGTGAGATCTGCTCATTGGGCCAGGCAGCCCTGTTGGTTGCCTCATCCTCTCCAGGCCCCAAAAGCATGGAGTGAAATGACTGAGCGGAGCACCCCAGGAGCGCATGTGGAGTACAACCTCAGTGGCGCTCACCAGGGACTGCTATTTAGTCTCTAACTCAAGAGCTCCAGTTCCTCTTCATGGGAGGTACTGAGAATGATTAAATAAATGACCCTCATCCTAACCCATGTACAAATTTGAGCTGACCCAATTCAATCCCCAGTAGTTAATCTATGCCTTTTCCCCACAGCCATGAATGTGGGCTCCCCTCTGCAGAGCCTCTGGAACAGCCCTGACTGCAAATAAATGAATTCTCAGGGGTGGTGAGCACCAGGCCCCAACATCTTCCCCAGCCCTTGTGCTCCCAGCTAAGGCTGATTTGGAAAGCGCTTTATGATTTATTCATGCCGCCTCCCAAGCTTCCTAGGACAACTTTCCCCTCACACAAACGAGCGAGACGCCCAGAATAGAATGTCAGGCTTCATTAAAAGAAAAACCCCGGGTGTGGGGGACGTCCCTTCTTTTGCTCCCGAGCCTGCGTCACCCAGCGTTTGTAGAATCCAGGTCAAACTCGAGAAAGCACCTGCGTGTTAGCAGCCTCTGGCTCCTGAACAAGTCTCGGTGTCAGAGGTTGTTTCTGGGAGGAAGGGATGCAGAGGGCTGGCAGCTCTGAACGTCAATCTCCTGTTCCTGCACTGGGGACATGGAGACTGGTTCCAGGCAGGCCCAGGCAGCAGGAGGAACTGAGTGGAGGAATCCCAGGAAGGAAGTGGGGTTAGGTTACACTGGAGCCAGGGAAGAGTACTGGCCCCAATTCTCAGCAGTGAGACCGAGGCAGGCCCCTCGACTCCCTGGGCTTCCACTTTATAAGGAGCCCTTGTTTAGATATCAGAGCATGGTGTAAACTCTCCACTTTGGAGGAAGCAAACCCACAGGACAGAGAAGTGCCTGCCTCCAGGGTTCCCAAGGGTGCACATCTTTACAGAAGCGGGCTGCGGCTTCTTTCTCCATGAAGCAGCTGGTGGACTTGAAACACTGAGGTTTCAGTTAGCAGCTGAGGACTTATCTCCAGGGAACTGTCTAACTGTGTAAATTAAGGTTGCCAAAGTAGCCTCTGGACCATGTTTGTTACTGTCATCACCACTGTTGTGTCATCAAGTCATTTGTGACTCATCGTGACACCACGTACAACAGCTCTGAACCCTGCTCTATCTTGAGCCAATTTCATTGTCTCTGACACACCTACACCCATTACCCCAGTCACTGAGTCAAACTGTCATTGTCACAGTCTCCTCCAGAGGGAATCCTAGCCCCCCAAAGTGCAGACAGAAGAGGAATTCCCTCTCTCCTACTCACTCTACACCATGGGCAAAATTTTTACCACCACCCAGGAGAGCTGACCATAGAAAAATACAGCACCCATAAATTTGAAGGCTACTTCAGAAGTCCAAATTCATGGTAAAATAAATGTAGGATAATTCTACAGGGCTCTATACCTTCTCTTAAACAAGCAAGACTTTGATTCACTGCAGCCATTATTATAATACTATGAGGTCACACTGAGTGGTTCTCATCCACAAGGCCCTTTGAACAACTCAGCTTCTTCAGAGCTGACTCCAGGCATATTGGGGACTTTAGTCTCTTGGGCAGATCCACTCACTATCTCTCAAAGGGCAACATAAAGTAGGAGGTGGGTGGCAATGTAAGGCTTGAAACACAATCCTCCAAGTAGGATTTGTGAGCAGGGTGAGGCCTGGAGTGTTCTGGGCTTGACTACTCCACTGAAGTACTCAACCCCTCTGGGCAGGTGGAGATTCAACACATTTCTCAACCAGAATTCTCAGGACAAAATAAGTCCATCTGTGAAGAACGTCTCACCTGCCAGTCACATCTAAGTCACCGGTAACATTAACATTTGTTTGAAGCTGTGTCCAGTACCAATAGGAATCAAGTGTATCATCACTGACAGTACAGGATCCCAAGGGCTTCTCTCCTCTCCTGTCCCCAAACACAGGGACCCAGTGAAGTCCTAGAAGGCCAGTGCTTGGGTGCTAACTAGCATATCCTTTTAGGAGTCCTCTGTTGATCTCTCACTACTGGAAAGGGTACAGCCAGAGTGCTCCTCAGAGGCAAGGATTACAAAGCCTCGTCTTTTATACTTTGGACAGGTAGCTAGGCAAAGCCATTCCTTGGGAAGAGACATCACGCTTGGAAAAATGGAGGGTCAGCAAAGGAGAGGCAGATCCTCAGTGAGATGGACTGACACTGGGACTTCAGCAATAGTGTGTCAGTTATGATGCGGATGGCACAGGACAGAGCAGGGCTCAGGACAGCTGTTCATAGGGTCGCTATGGGTTGTACTCGACTTGTTGGCACAGAACAATTGATTTTTCAACCCATCTTCCTTCATCAGTGGGCAACATTAATGCTCTGGAAAAGGACAAATGACCCAAAGAGAGAGCCTTGTATTAAAAACATGGACACTTCTCTCAATATCTTAAAAGAAAACAGCAACAACGAGAGTTGCTATTGGATAAACTGTCAACCCTGACTCTTCACCACCCTCTGTTGCCTTGACTCTTCATGCAGGAAACTGGAAGAATTATTGCATATGGGACAACAGAGATGCAAATGGCTACCCCACATTGAAGTCCACAACCAAGTTCTGATTACTTCTGCTTAAAAAAATAAAAAATACAAAAGCCAATGATATGTTGAACTGAGTTGGTTATAGACAACTGCTAATTGCTACAGCATAGCCTACTTAGGAAACCTAACCAAGGTCTTTCATTCATAGGATCGCTATGAGTTGTCTACAACTCAATGGCACTTAACAACAACAACAACAACAACAACAACAACAACAACAACGAGGGAACTCTGTTGGCCTAGAAGATAGAAAGTGATGCTACCAAGTCAAAAGTGAGTGATTTTAATCTGTGGCCTTCAGGCCTGGTTTAAATTGTTTTTGGTCAAACATTCTTCTAGGTGGTATAACACTGGTCTGTCCATTTGCTGTTTAGAGGTAACTCATGGTTGCTATGATGCTGAACACTGTGACACAGATGTGCCAAATGCTATATTGATCACCCATGGTGGACAGTGTTTGGTGGAGCTTCCCGATTAAAACAAGCTTGGAAGCAGGAGCGGCATCCACTTCCAAAAATAGCTTGCCTCTGGAAACCTTATGAACATGTAGAAATGATGAAAGTTATACAGGTGTTCAGGTCTTTCGTTCATAGGGTTGCTATGAGTCATCTATGACTGGATGGCACTTAACAACAACAACCAACCAACCACCACAACTGCATTCCTTAGGTAACAAAAGTTTAAAAAATGTGAAGTTAAAAAATAACTTTTCTAAAAGAGAGTTAAATAAATAGCAGTGTTTTGAGTTTTCTTAAATATACACATCTTTAATAGAGGACACACAATCATAAAAGAAGCAAAAGAAATGGTTCTTGGGAGATGAAAAAAAAAATTCCTCTGTGTATGTGTAAGAGAGTGCTGGTGGCCCAGAGGCAAGGAGCTGCACTGCCAACCCGAAGGTATATGGTTCAAATCCACCAGCTGCTCTGCGGGAGAAAGATGGGCCATCTCTTCCTGAGCAATTTACAAATTCTGAAAACTCACTGGAGGGTCAGCTATGATTTGGTGTCGACTTGATGGCACCTAACAACAGTATATACATGGAGTCCTTGGTAGTGCAAAGGGTTAATGCAGCCAGGTGCCAACCAAAAGGCTGGAGGTGTGAGTTGGCCAAGTTGCACCCTGACATTCCTGGTGATCTAGTTCTGCAAGATCATCATTAAGGATCCTAAAGACGACAGTTCTACATCGACGCACACGGGGTTTCCGGGAAGTTGGAATGAACTCCTGAGCAACTGCCTGGCAGACTTTAACAGCTAGACACACAGAAAAAAAACACGAAAAACTGCTGCCACTGGGACAGTCCCAAGCCAGAGCACAACTCTCCTTATCAATAGATACACAGCGTATCGATGGTATTAACATTTCACGTGGGGGGTGCGGATAGAGTAATTAAGGAAAGATGTTTTAAAAGGCTCCTTCGAGGAGCAATAATGAAGGGGAAAAATGGCTGAGAAACACTACTTAAATAGAAAGTAATGGTTCCAATTTCTCCTACATGGCTCAGAGCCATCCATCCCCAGATCTCTCACTGCAGTCGACCATGGGTGTTGAGCAACTGGGAGAATTTGTTTCCTCACTAAGCGATCTGACCTTGCTTTTCTGGTTGGTAATTTTTCTCCCTCCCTTTTCTAAGTTACCCAGTCATTTCTCAGTGGGCCCTCTCTCCCAGCATCCTGTAAAAGCCATTATCTTAATTTTACAGGTAATACCTCAGTCGGCTCTGCTGTGAAGGTAACCCCTGTGTTTCCACACTGAGTTGCAGGAACTGCTGAATGGGTCGTTTTCTGCCTACTCGTCACACTTTCCTCATATTCCTGTGTTTGTGTCTGCCTCTGACGACTGGGGTCACTGAGAAAATTTACACCACATGCCAGCAGAATATGAAATACTACTTACAGTGCAAAGTGTTTCAAAGGTCTTTTCGGAGACGAAGGATCCATCAAGACCAAAGAGAAATATCGATGCATAGGAGAGCATCCCTCCAAGAATTATAAGGTTGTTCATATAGGGACTAGACATCTTTATTAACCTGACAAAAGAAAGAGAGAACCTTTTAAATAGACTGTTCATTTCGTTATTCCATCAGTGCGCTTTCTGAAGGCCCACAGTTCTCGCGTGCCAGGTAGACACTGGTACCGAGGCTGGAGGACAGGAGGAGAGAAGAGGCCGAGCTTCCCCATCCTCTTTCCCAGGTATATCCCAGCTCCAGCTGTCTGTTCCCTTGCTAGATGACCCACACAGCTTAAGCATTTCTAATTGCTGAGTTTCCTGTCTCCTCTGTCAAGTTCACCTGTCACTTCTCTAGGGCCACCTTTGCAGCATCAGCTTATTCACCCATCAGTTTTTAGCTGACACAAAAGCTTTACAGCAACAGGTGTTTCTCACTGGAGCTGGGACGACAGGCCCAGCCTGGAGCATTGTGCCATTATGTTCAGAAACCCCCAAGTGCAAAGAGAAGAGATTTCCACCTCAGCTCTTCCATAGTGAGTGGACCAGGTCAAGGGAATGTCCAGGTGAGAACTGAAGGTCATCCAGGAACAAATCACCAGGCAGAAAGTGAGTGTCCCTTTAGTTTAGGAGTCATACTGGCTTGTGCCACACAGTGTGGACAGGGACCTAACCCGGTCACAGGTGACAGAGGTCAACGACAGAGTCACCATCCCACCTCCATTGTCACCTCCACCAGACCATGGCTGAGGGAAGCCTTTACATTCCCAGACTTTCCACACTTCTCTCTCACTTCCTCTGGGCAGGGGTCCTGCTGCCTAGCACCCCTGCTGACACAGGTGCTGGGCTCCACTGGTCTGCTCAGCTCATGGCTGCTTAGATTTTCTGTGCCTCCTGATTCATATTGCAATTATGGTCGGTTGCTCTTTTAACACATTCCTTTGTATTCTGTAGTTAGAATAATTTTTTTACATTTAAAAAAAACTGTAATGTATCAAAGTGGTAAAGGGACAGAAGGCCTGAAGTCCACAGTGGACTGCACACGGGGTTTCTAGTTGGGAGCACTGGGCTACTGTACAGTGGTGTGAGGTTGGGCAAGCCACTTAACCACTCCAGGCTCAGTTTCTTCATCTGAAAATGGGAGTGCTGATTGCTGTGTCTGGGGGCTTATGTGAAGCTGAGGTGAGTCCAGGTTCCCACAGGCTTCTTTGTAAACTGCACTGATATCAAGTCCCCCCGGGCTTTCCAAGGCTGTACACGGCACAGGGGGAGACGGCTCATTTTTCTACCCTGGGACCCTCTGGTGGATTTGAATCACTAAAGAGGTATGGTGGGTTGTGTTTTTCTTTTTTAAATCTTGCTCAAGAATTTCTTTTTTTAAAAAATTGAGGTTTTAATGAAAGTTTATCAAGAACTTGGATTTTCATTCATTCATTGTTGCACACTTTCCTCTCTTCTTCCCCCATCCCCACCAGTTTGCTCTTCTCTTTGGGAAAAAAAGATTATTTCATTGTTATACAGTTACCTCTCCCCAGTCTACTTTACTATGCAGCTCTTATTCTAGACTCTTGTCATGCCAATAATACCTAATCATATATTCTTTTTATTCAGTTCTCTCCCTTGCCTGTTTCAGTGCAGTGTACATCATTTATCCTCTCTTTTCTTAGTTTTCCCCCAACCCCCATGACAGTCCTGTTTTATAACAGTGGCATTATGCAGTAATTGTCCTTTGTCCTTTTGGGATGGAGATATTTCATACAGCATAATGTCCTCCATGGTCACCCATTTTGTATAATATTGCATGAGTTCCTTGTTTTTCAGTGTTTCATACTATTTCATTGTGTGAATATACCACAGCTTCTCTATCCATTTGTTGATGGGCACTTAGGTTGTTTCCAACTCCTTGCTACTGTGAACAAAGCAGCAATAAGCATGGGTGTGCATATATCTGCTTGGGTGGCAGTTCTGGTTTCTTTAGGGTATATTCCCAGTAGTGGAATTGCTGGGTCAAATGGTATTTCTATTTCCAACTTTTTGAGGAAGTGCCATACTGCCTTCCACAGTGGCTGCACCTTTTACTCTCCCACCAACAGTGAATAATGGTTCCAGTTTCTCCACAACCTCGCTGGCATTTGTTTGCTGCTCTGTTGAATTTTGCTATTCTGACTTGGGTGAGATGATCTCTCATAGTTGTTTTGAGGCATGAGTTACCTACGAGAGCTAAGGCAACATCATTCCTGCTCTCACAGCATGCTGTTGAGGGGAAAGACTAGGACTGTGAATGGGCTTCCTGGAGGAGGTGGACCTTAAAGGGTGGCATTCGGGGGCGGGGGGCAGAAGTGAGGGGAGATTTGCAGCCACAATGGCAGTTATTTCCTATCTCTTGGCAGAGAAGAGGGAGGGGGATCTCATTTGAATGCCAGCCCACTGAAAAGAGGAATGAGAATTTTCTCTAGGAGGCCAAGAGGGGATAGTTAAGGAGTTAAAGGCATTCTTTCTCAAAATTGGGTCAGCTTGCAGTCACAATGGGAACCGTTGAGGTTTGCAGGAAGAGAATCTACTATTAATTGGGAATCAACTATGTACCTGGTACACTCACGTACAGTCATCAGTGAAAGTTTGTACAGAATGGACAAAAGAGGCTGCATTTTTTTTTAATGCAGAGGTATCTGTATTTTTTGTGAAAAGAGAAAATAAATAATAGGTGAATAAAATGTCTTCTTGTCCTTCAAGGAACAGATGTATTCTAAGAAATTGCTACCAAAACCCTTCCTCCAAAACCAGTCTTGGAATTAGGCTTGGGCCCAGCAGCCCACAGGATCAGGCAGTGTGGTCACTGGGCTGGGTGGCAGAGCTGTGACACTGAGTGGGTGGCACTGACTGGTACCCTGCAACAGCCCACACACTCTGAAGCCCCGATGAGCCTCTCCCACTAGGCAGGGAACTGGGTTCTGAGGTTTGCTATGGAAACCAAAGACCAGCTCTGGCTGGTACACACTGCTGCCTCCAACAGCGGCCGACTCTGCCCACCAGTGACCAGAATAACTCAGCCCCACGGTCACTTGGGAATCAGACTACTGTGATGCACAGGGTGTTGGGAGAAAAGAAATCAGGGCCGGAACCAAGAGAGCTCAGCAGTGTGGCCGGGGATAGTATACTTCTTCATCACTCTCATCTCAATGGGAGGGCCAAAGGAGATAACGGAAGGGTGGGGCTTCTGCCCTGTACCAGGCTGGACCAGCGGTGCCAATGATACCAGACCAATTGTGAGCCCCCTGGAAGTGGTCCTAAAGATGTTGGGATGTGGGGAGACTGGAGGAATTCTGTCTTTATCACCCTACAAAGTGCACAAGCGTATGCAAAGCTCCGAGGAGACTTGTGGAGGTGTGCATTCAGTTCTACTTAACCCAGCCTCCCTCAAAGTGATCTTACCTTTCCGCAGTGGCCTGCAGCTCCAGAGACACTGCATGCTGTAGTCTGTATGGATGGTGCCCCCACAAGAGCTGAAGTGCGAATGAGACCCTCTAGTGTCATGTAGTGAGGCTCCGATGCTCAGAGGTACCATTCTCGTCTCCCACACAAGGGACTGAGTTCAATGTCTCATGTGCAGCCACCACCCACCTGCTCGCGGAAGTCTGCATGTTTTTCTAATGTTGAACAGAGGAGCTTCCAGACTGACTCACATTAGGAGCTCAGAAAGGCCTGGCGATCTACTTTAGAAAACCAGGCAATGAAAGCTCTGTGGATTACAACAGTTCAGTCTGTAACTGATCATAGTAATGAGGTAGGGCCTGGTCATTGCTCTGTGTAAAGAGTCACCATTAGTTGGGAGCTGACTAAATAACAGTTAACAACAGCAGAACTGTGCAACAAGCAGCCTTACGTGTGTGTGTGTGTGTGTGTGTATGTACATAAACGGAACACCGAACACTATCCTGGTGACTGACCACACACTTTAGGAAACATGGCCCTAGGAGAGCTCTGTGACCAGGAGAATCAGCTGTGCGCTGAGGCTCCTACACTTTGTCTAGAAGGGGTCGGGGGGACATGAGCAGCTTACTTCTGATTCCGGTTCTTGATGTTGAAGAAGAGAAAGGCGCTGGCCATGATCATGCCAAGGATGGTGAGGGCCGAGAGGATGCTGTAGAGAGGTAGGGAGATCTTTCGGAGCTGCTCCAGGATGATGGTCTTATCTTTTGGTGGTTCAGATCCTAGAAGGGCAAAGAAAGGACACTGACTGAGTCCAGTGCACAGGGATTCCTCCAGATGATATATGCTTGCGTGTCCCTGAACTTTGCCAGGCACCAGGGCCCAAACCCTGTGTGAGGCCCATCTAGGAATGATCCAGCAGCTCAGTCTGCCTGCCAGCAGGCCACTTTATACTTTCTCTAAATAGAATCTTAAAGGGATAGGGTGATAAACATGGAATTCCTCAAGTCTCCCCACATCCCAGCATCCTTAGGAAGAGCTTCCAGAAGGGTCACATTTAATAGCTGTTGGAACAGCCAGAATGTTCCTTAGACATCAAGATGGCAAGACTATGTCTCATGAACCTTGAGCATGTTGTCAGGAGGGACCCAGCCCTGGAAGGAGGACATCATGCTTGGAAACACAGAGGGTCAGTGAAAGAAAGAAAGGCCATCGACAAGATAACACAGGGGTTACAACAATGGACTCAAACACAGTAATGACAACCAGGACAGCACAGGATCAGGCAGCGTTAGTTCTGTTTACATAGGTTTGTTGTCAAAAGCAACTCAATGACATCCAACAGCAACCAACAGGCACCAGAATTTGATTTGGCCTAATTATATGGCTGCAAAGCCATCACCATTTATCCTCGGAGGTGACAATGGTTCGGAAGGCTCAAGGCTGGGTACTGGCTGCTGGGTGCGGGTATCACCAGGTATGAGGACCTGGTGTATGGTCACAATCGCCCCTCGACTGTGTGGACACTGAGCCTGTCACTTCCCTGCTGACACCGATGTGCTCTGGCTATGGATTTCCTGCCACAAGGTCATTATCCTGGAAAAGCTCTTTCTGGTTTTCCACTTTCATAAGCCTCACTGTCTCAGAGAGCAGAGGCTCCCGGCAAAGCCTTCCCTCCCGACTGCTCCAGGATCAGACTGAAGCGTGGCATTCTTTCTCTGTGAATGTAGAGGCACCCTTGTTCTTGTTTAAAGGGCACTTGCAACTTAGGGAATCCCTAAGGGCCTCAGACCCAGCTCATCTTTATGTTCAGTGGAAACTAGGTCTGTTTTAACTTCACCTGGTACAGGCTGCTTGTGGTGAGGGATGCAGGGATTCCTTTAGCTTCGTGCAAATTCCCTCTTGCTGAGCAATGTTATATGTCAGTTTTCCCTCCCTCCCTTCCTCCCTTCCTTCCCTCCCTCCCCCTCCTTTCTTCCTCTCTCTCTCTCTCTGTCTTCTCTTCTCCCTCTCTTTTTTTGTTGTGATGCCTAATAAGTTCCCCTAACTTTGTCCATGTACATCTTACTGTGTTGGTGTGAGGTGTGTCATCCAGTCAACTATGACCCATGGTGACTTCATGAACGAGAGACTGGCACTCTGCCCTACCCTGCACCGTCCTCACAGTCTCCGACGTCCCAGTGCCACAGTCACTGTGTCAATCCATCTTGTTGAGAGTCTTCCTCTCTTTCTCTGACCCTCCGTATTTCCTAGCATAACATTCTCTCCCAAGGACTGGTCCCTCCTGACAACACGTCCAATGAATGTGGGAAGAAGTTTCACCACCCGCGCCTCTAAGGAGCACCCTGGTAGCACTTCCTCCGGGAGAGATCTGTTTGTTCTTTTGACAGTCCATGGCGTGAGCGGTACTCTTCTCCAACACCACAATTCAAAGGCATTGATTCTTCTTCTGTCATCCTTATGCATTATCCAACTCTCACATGCATACGAAGTAACTGAAAATACCAAGGCTTGGATCAGGCGCAACTTGGTCTTTAAATACATTTGAGTCTTTTGCAGCATGTGTAAGCATCCTCTGTTAAACCTATGCATATCCAGTCTTTGGCATAGTTTCCTATGCTTTCCCACACCTGTTTTACCTTGCATGTCTATTTATACCCTGTTACACACACAAGTCTGTAATAACCATAATAGTAATCAATGGGTGGATATTCAAAGACGATTCAGAGCAGGTCTTTCTCTGCTTCTTTACTTTTGGAGAAATGCCTCGCATCTCTTCTCTGGAATATGTTATTTCTAATAAAACTGTCTTTACTTTCACTTAAAAAAAACACACACCACAAACCACCACCACCACATGTCAGAGCAGATTTATGCTGTGGAACTGAAGAACCTTTAGTTTATGGAATCAGTCACAGGATTAGCCAAGCCTAAGAGCCCAAGGGTGGCCCCAGGGCTCAGGATGGCCTCTGCACTGTGGATCTGGCAGGACACCAGCCCTCAGTTTACCTCTGTCCCCAGGACACAGGCAAGCCATGGATAGATGAGGCAGTGGGGAACAAGATTTTCCTGAACATCTGTGTTTAAAAACTCTTTTAGCTAGCTCAAAAGTGTTGTCCATATTTCTCCCAAAGAGCACTGGTGGATTTGAACTGTCTGCCTTGGGGTTGGCAGCATAACTTCTTACCCATTAGGCTACCACTCAGTGCTCTCTAGAAATATTAGTAGTGGGGGTTGAGTGTGTGTGTGTTGGGGGTGGGGTATGGGGGCAAAAGTCTGGGGAAATTGCCAGGTTTGAAAACAGAAACTTTGCTGGCATCGGTAACATAAAGCACTGGTAATTTAAGACAAAATGATATTTCTACAAAAAAGGGACCTCAAGGGCTAAGAGAGACACAAGGTGGTAGCAGTGACAGCATTTTCCGTGGTGAGAGGCAAGCATCTGGAGCCTTCTGATGCTCCTCCTCTACTCCTATCTCCACACCCCAGGCTGCATCAGGCTGCTCAGGGGGACTTCCAAACACCGGAGGGGTCCTGGAGACACACTCTTGGCTGGAAACAAGGCTCTCTCTGTTGATGCAGGATCTGAGAAAGGAGATCGAGGCTTGCACCAAAGGTCATGACCGCCCCACTAGTGACTGCAGGGCCCACTGGGTAGAAAAAAGTTCTGAAAATTGATAAAATCTTACCCTTCTTCTCTTCCCTAAAAATGCTGCACACGGTGGATCCTAACTAAGACATCACAGGTGCCACACAGAAACAACTTATTAGAAACATCAGTAACAGCAGCTGACTCGAGTTTTCTTCTTTCTCTACCTGTTAATTTATTATCCACTCATTCTTTACCTTCTGTGACGGGCTGAAGGCTGGGTACCAGCGACTCAGAATGAAGGAGACATAGTCTCTAGTCTCTGTCCTTGAGGAGCTTACATACTAGACACTTCCCCCGATTGTAATAAAAATCATCTTATTTACCGGATACTTAGAGAACGTGCCAAGCCTCATAGGCGGCTAAGATTACACTGTACTCCAAAAGTAGAGAAAACTTTCGTCAGTCAAAACGGTGGAAAGATGCAATTACTATTAAGTAAAGATCTCACTGTTGTCAATTTCAACTCATAGTGACCGTCCATCGGGCGTCCGTGGCTATGAAGGAGGAAACTGTCCACCTTTCTCCAGAGGAGCTGTGGGTGGATGGATCCACACGGCTGACCTTTCAGTTAGCTCACAGCACGTGACGGACCATGTCATCAGAACAATTATTGAGTGTTTCCAGATCCGAAATATTACCGATAGCACATAAAGCAGGAAATAACACATCAGGCCGATGGACACAGTCCAAAGCTCTGGGGCGGCTGGAGGCTGATGCCGGGATGCTGAGCGTGTAGTTCCCGGGGGAGGAGCTTGGTGGCGCCACTTTTTCAGGGGCTTCCTTCAAAACATTCATTTCGCTTTTTGAGCTTCTTCCTCTTTGTTGTTGTCGTGTGCCATTGAGTCGGAATCAGTGGACATCTGAGACCAACAGCTGAGCCTCCAGTGGGTTTTCAAAGGCAGTTAATCACATGGCAGGAGACTGACCATCCTTCTCCTGCAAAGCAGCTGGTGGATTTGAACTGCCTGCCTTTGGGATTTGCAGCACAATTTCTTACCATTAGGCCACCAAAGCCAGTTAGGAAAACTGTGCACTAATTGAGATCCTTCATGAAAATTACATAGTATAAAACAAACTTCAGAAAAGCAGGGGAGAACCACATGTTCCATTTTGACACAGGCAACAGTTTTCTAGGTGTTAAGTGGCTTTGTGAAAAGTAAGTTTTGTGCCTGAATAAGGAAGGACACAGACCCTACACCCTTAGATTAAAAATATGATGCTCTGGGAGAGAATAGTCTAAAAGTATTATATCTTAGGGCATTATTTTTATCGTAGGTGTACGCAATGAGGGTTGCAGAGTGGATTATATTTGGGGGTAGGGGGTGGGGTTTGGGGAGGTGCGGGGGGGTTTTTGTACCAATGAGGGGGTTTTTCTTTTGCTTTTCAAGGAGAGGAGCAAATGGGGGGGAGGGGTTTGTGCGGGGAGAAGGGTGCAACAATGAATGAATGGATGTAGATGTTCATTGAAATGAAAAATAAACGAAATTTAAAAAAACAATATGATGCTCTACCAACTGAACTAGGCTTCTTTTTACATTTGCATTTTTCCCTCTAAGTCATGTTCTGTGTATCTGAGTCTTTCCTTCAACATGTAAACCTAGAATCCTTTCAGTAAATCCAACTCTGTGGAGTCTGGAAGCAGAGAGGCCTGTTTGGGTGGGAGTCCAGTCTTGGGGTTAGAACACGCTCCATCTCTCACAGGCTTTGTGTACAGAAGCGTCACTCTTTCTGACAACAGGATTTGCGTGCCCAACGTTGAGAGTGCTTCTGTGGCTCCATGAGGCAATATGCAATTACATGCTCGGTAACCACTCCCCCAGGTGGAGTGGGGAGGCACAGAGATCGCCTCACCCCACGTTGGGGCTGTCTGGGGCTCTGCTTTGCAGTTTCTCAAAGTTTAATCTTGTGGATCCAATGGATATGTGAGGACATGACAAAATGTAACCAAAGGGCCTATAAAAGAACCTTGGCTTATAAAGGACATGCTTTTAAAAAGGAATTCAAGGTACAGAAAGGCAACTGGTGCTCCCTCCCTCCGGCATTTGCTACCCTAGAGGTATCAAAGTAATAGTACTCGGTGACCCTGCAGCTATCCACGGTCCACTGACTGGGCTGCAGCTGTCCATCCACTCATCCATCTACTCTCCCACCCATCCTGCCAGCTACTTTTCATCTTTCTGCTTGTCGGACCGTCCTTCCACCTGTCCATCCATCCATCCATCCACCCACCTATCTTCATCACTCCCCATGTGCTCACTCATTCATTTATATATATGCACTTCCCACTCCTCTATTTATTTGTTCAATCACATATTCATTTCTCAAAATAAAATATCACCAAGCCTCTGGCATGTTCCAGACGCTGGCTGGTACCAGAAATTTCAAGTCCTCTAGGATTCAGTCAGGGAGCTCATGGTCCAATAGCACAGTAATTTCAGTGCTAGGTGACAGGAACTGTGGGAGAGACAGGCGGTGGGAGCAAAGAAAAGGGAGGTGTGAGCCTAGCTGAGGGGCAGTCATGGAAGGCTGCCCAAAGGAGGGGACGATGGACCCTGGGTTTTAAAAGCTGAGGAGATCCTCTCTAGCAGAAGAGGAGTTAGGATGACTTTTGGAGGAAGTGAAGCCAGTGGATAGGTCTGATCACAGATGCAAACAAATTATGCTTACCAGAGAAGACAGAGCTCAAGTTACTATGTTTGCCAGAGAAGACAGAGCTCAAGTTAGCTGGGTGACTTTAACATAATCAACTATCAAACCCTCAGTGCTGATATTTCCAATTGCTTCTTATGTATCTGCAAGTTGGACAATGACTAAGGATGACAGAAGAAGGATTGATACCTTTGGACTGTGGTGCTGGTGAAGAGTATTGAACTGCCAAAGAACCAACAGATAGGTCTTGGAAGAAGTGCAATCAAGATGCTCCTTACAAGCAAGGATGGTGAAACTTGGTCTCACTTCCTTTGGCCAAACTTTCAGAAGCAACCAATCTTTGGAGAGAGACATTATGCTGGGAACGATGGAGGGTCAGTGAAAGAGGGGAAGACCCTCAACGAGATGGACTGACATGATCATTGCAACAGTGGACATGAGCATGGCAGATGACACGACGATGGCATAGAATTCAGGAGCAAGGTTCAGATCTGTTGTTCACAGGTTCTTAGTCCTCGTGCTCTTAATGGCACCAACAATAACGGACCACTCACTGGTTTACACCCTGAAGCCTTGGCGACAACCAACACTCCATGAGAATATCAGTGACCTATCCCATGACATAGAACCCACGTGAGGGATGGGGGCCCTGTGCCCAGGCAGTGAGTGTATGGGCTGAATGGAAAGGAGGTTCCTTATTCATGAATCCAAGTTCTCCAGGCTTGACCCCCATGCTTAGACAACGTCCAGGCCTCTCTTCCAAGAAGCCCACTTGCCTTACCTTGGAACCTGATGGTGTCGTTGATGATCTCCAGCGTGTCGGCCACGGCGTTGTACTCTCCCACCTTCACTTCCCTGCTGTCTGTGGGGACAAGAGACAGTAGTGGTTAGATCAGGGTCCTGGACTTCTGCTTGGGTACTCCTGTCCTGTGCCTCAGTCTATGCACAGGCCTCAGCTTTTTTTAAAGGCTCCGCTTCTTTCACTTAAAATCACAGGACCATCAAGCCTGGCCTGGGTGGCAATTAGTTCTCTGCTGCACTGTACCCCTCCAAGAATGAGGGGTGTCTCCCCAGTCATAACCAGTCCTATGTCTCTAACCACTAACTTTCTGTCTTTGTCACTCTGGAATGTTGCCCCATTCTCCTGCCTTTCCCTGTTAGAACTACACAACTACTTTTGCTCCCTTCTGCCCTGGTTCAGATGTGCTGTTCACAGGGTCGCTGTGAGTCACAGGCAACTTAAAGAACCAACTCTCTGTCATTCCTGTAAGCTTGAAGACAAAGATAGATCAGTCCCCAGGCACCAGCCCCCAGGCCCTCCAGCCACATCTTTCAGAGCCTCTTTTCTACACTCCCATCCATCTGGGCCTTTCCCTGGGCCATGCCCAATCATGACATCACCTGCCTGACTGTGTAAGCCAATGGACTGACGAGGAATTCTAGTCAGGATCTGTTTACTGGTGGACACCTGACAAGTGATAGTTCCATGCTGAGCCTTCTACTCCGTGGGTCCTCTGTGCAGATGCATGGCCATCCACCCACAGACAATGGGACCTCATGCACCACAAGCAGGTCGCTAGAGTTACAGGGCTCAGACCTGGTCAGCAAAATGCCTACAGGTCATCAAATGACACAGCAGCAGCAGAGACAACAGGAGTCGCACAGAGGACCCGGCTGCTGGGATACTGGCTGTAGGGAAAGGCATTTCAAGAAACACAGGTGCCTTGCTGGTCCCTTAGAAATGTCAGGAAATAGGACAGGAACCCTGGAGACCACACTCCTTGGCTGCCCTCCTTGGACTGTGTGGTAGCAAACAGAGGCTGTGAAAGTCACTTCCTCCTTCTCTGGGGGTGTCTAGGACTCATCACGCTGTGCAGGTGGCTGTCACCTGCCAGCACCACTGGACCCCTAAATGTCACATTTGTAGGCTCTGTCGCAGTTTGCCGTCACGGAGCTCCCCCCCGCCCCCCGCGCCCCAGGCCTTTGGAAGGCCTCTGCAGCTCCCACTGTTCACAAGAGGAAGCCCTGATTTATTTATTTGCTGTGAGGAGGCAGCACATGAAATATGCAGGTCGATAGGCATAAACCATGAGGAGCCGGAAAGTGGTGGTGCTGGCACCCCACTCTGTCCCCAGCCTCACGGCTCCTGCCTCTGACTCAGTGGTCCCCCTGGACTGTCCCATAACACCAACAAGCTCTTTGGCTTCCTACCCTGACCATAATTACCAGAACCTCTTTCCTAGGGGGCAGGGAGTACTTGGAACCTTGCCTCGCCTCACACATCACATTTAATGTCCAAGCTTAACCTTGAATTGAGCATAACCTGCCCCATTTGGTACATGAAGGAGGAACCTCACCCAGGTGCTGTGGTAGTTCTGAGCCACACGCTGGGCAGGGCCCAAGCTCAGGACTCCTCATTCTGAATTCAGAGCGGGTTGACCATTTGCTGAGCAGAAATGTTGTCGTTCAGCTCATATTTACTGGTGACCTACCACATGTCAAAAGACTACAGGACCACCAAAGGAACAAACAGGTGCTCCCTGGAGGCAAGGATGAAGCTTCGTCTTTCATACTCTGGACATGTAGCTAGATGAGGCTATTCCTTGGAAAGGGACATCATGCTTAGAAAGACAGAGGGTCAGCAAAGAAGACTCCTAACAACAGAGATGGACATGGTGACTTCAGCAATGTGCTCTAGCGTGTGGGGATGGTGAGGATGGCACAGGACAGGGCAGGTTTCAGGCTGGCTGTGCGTAGGGTCGCGATCAGTCATACTTGACTTGGCAGCACCTACCAACAATAACTGCATGTCAGGCCCTGTCAAGGATTTCATGATGGAAGAATCCATCCCCCAAGTTGGAAATAATGTTATTTCCATGTCCTTGACCACAGTGACCTTAGACATCCAGGACTTCAAAGGGCTTATTATGATTAATCCCCTGGATCAATAAGATCCATTCCCTCAACACTGATTGGTCATCTCTTCTGTGCCACGCGGGAGACAGGAGAATGAAAAAGATAATTCCTAGTCCAGAATGAAGGCTGCACAGTGCAGTGGACTAGGGGGCAGTGACTGCATAGCAATGGAAGAGTTTTTCTTTTACTTCTCAAGGAGAAAAGTGAATTAGGGGGAGGGGGAGGCAGGGAGAAAAGTGCAAAAATAAATGACTAGAAACCCTAAGTCTCTGTAAACTTTCATTAAAATTAATTAAAAAAAAGAAAAAGACAATTCCTAATCTCTAACTTGTTATGCATCAGAGAGTTGGACAATGACCAAGGAGGACAGAAGGAGAATTGATGCCTTTGAGCTGTGGTGCTGGAGAAGAGTATTGAGAGTACCATGGGCTGCTAGGAAAACAAACAGATTTGCCCTGGAAAGGGTTAAACCGGGTGGCTCCTTGGAGGCAAGGATTCTGAGGCTCTGTCTAACATACTTTGGACATGTTGTGAGGAGAGACCGGTCCTTGGAGAAGGACATCGTGCTTAGGAGGGTGGAGGGACAGTGCAGGAGGGGAAGGCCCTCTATGAGGTGGATTGATTCAGTGACTGGGATAATTGGGATGGGAGTGTTAGAGGCAATGCGATTGGTACAGGACAGAGCAGAGTTTAGGGCTGTTGTACACAGGGTCGCTATGACTCGCAAGCGACTCAATGACACATAAAAACAACAACTAGTACGAGCTGAAGCTACAGTGACTTTGGCCTCATCCCAGCCCTACTTTGCTCTTGCTAAGTGCAGGGGAGACATTTGAGATTTGGGGTGACCGCGTGGGACAGAGTTGAACTGCCTCATAGCTTTCCTAGGCTGTGGACTTTAGGGGAACTTATCACCAGGTCTCTCCGTCTAAAGAGCACATTCTGGCTGTTAACCTTTCCGTTAGCAGCTGAGCACTTAACTGCTGCAGCACTGGTTCAAATGATCCCTCTTCCAGGAAGCCCTCCTGAATACCGCTCCTGCTCTTTGAGCAACCTAGTGGGCTTATGGCACTGATGATACTACTGCTTGTGTTGGAGTTACGTCCTAGGTGTGTCCAGGCCTTCTGATTTCTGTTAGCTTGTCAGGTCTTGAGTAGAGAAAATTGAAGCCTTCCATCTCATGACTCAGCAGCATAGGGTCACCTCCTCACTCTGTTTCCAGGGGTCTTCCAGCATTTCCAGGTAGAAGAGTCATGCCCCCTGTATTCTTCCATTTACTCTGAGCCCCCCGTGATGACTGTAACAGGAACCCAGAAAGTCCAACTTTTGGGCTCTTTGTTAATGCTACTGTGCAAACAGCAGGAAATACTCATCTCAATAGGGATCTCTGGTGGCTTAGTGGTAAGGAATTGCACTGCCAACCCAAAGGTATGTGGTTTGAATCCATCAGCTGCTCCACAGGAGAAAGATGGGCAACTTCTTCTCATGCGATTAACTGCCTCTGAAAACCCACTGGAGGGTCAGCTATGCTTTGGTTCTGACCCGATGGTACTCAACAACAACAACAGTAACTTTTCTAGATATAGACTTGGCTTTGCAGACTAGGGATGGTGGAGCAGGGGATTTGCAGACAGACAGGGTAGAGGATCCATGTGAAGATTCTCAGTGGAGGGAGAGGGGCTGTGGTGTGGGGTCTGCCACAGACAGGCCTTCCTGCCCCACAGGCCCCGGCTAGCACTGTCACTGGCACACTGTGTGGCCTCGGACAAACCATTCCCTTTCTACGCTGTTCTCAGTTTCTTCATCTGAATATTGCATGGTATGGATTTCAGTTCTGGCCAAATAATGGAATAATGTGGAACCTATGAGAAAATATAAATGCCTGAGTCTCAACACAGATCCATTACCTCAGAGTCCATGGGATTGGGGGATGTCTCCTGAGTCTCTGCATTTAAAATAATCTTCTAGGGGGATGGGGAAGTGCAGCCAGGGCTGTGCATCACCGGGTTAGATGAGAGTCCTTCAGCACTGACATCTTCTGGTTCTCAAGGGCTAAAAATATTCCAAAACAAAGAGTCCTCGTCCCTGCAGCATAAGACCAGTCTCCTCTCGTGGCACAAAAAGAAGTGTTCTCTCTCAAAAGAGCATTCTTTATGTCAAGTTGTTGATTTGGATGATACATAAAGAAAATATGCCTCACTGGTGAACGTCAAACTGAAAAAAGACCAGTCTGGAAATAGTCCCTGGCTGTGGGCTGAGGAAGGCTCCCTGGGGGAGACAGTGGCTAAGTGCTCAGTCAGGAGTAGGAGTCCTTGGTTGCTGGTGGTGTTGGGAGTGGGGAACAGGCACTTCAAAGGGTAAAAATGGCAGAATGTAGGCAAGTGCAATGTGTACACAAGTTGTGACCCAGCAATTCTGCTCCGATGTATTGGGCCTGAAGAAAGACATGACTGGATCTACAAAGGGACATTTATAAGAACATTCATCACCAAGAATGTGGGGAGGTTCAGGTGAGCTGGGTGTCTGTCACTTGGAGAGGGGACGGTAAAGTGTAGATATACCCCATGGGGCACTATAACAGGATAAGAGGCCACAGCCAAATGACTGAATGAAACCACAGTATGATTTGTAAACTTTCCCCCAAAAAAATAAATAATAAATTGTGCTGAATGGAAAACAATAGAAGATAGGGAATCTGATTTCACTGATGTAAATTCATAGCACACGCACACACACTCCAGAAGCACATATTTTGTAAAGATACATTACAGACACTATACACACACACACACACATATACAAACACTATAGATACACACACATACATATACAGACACGATATATACACACACATACATACACATACACTATATATACACACATACATATACATACACATACACACACATATATAACAGTTGTTGTTAGATGTTAAGTCCAGTATGA